GGGGATTAGTATTGATCTCCTTGACAGCAAATACTAAAGCCAGGATGTGTTGGTAAATCTGAGTTATGACCCTGAAGAGAGAGGTACATGATCTTCTATAATACAGTACATTTAACTCAGAATATGATACATATTTTGCCCTTCCTTTCAAGTATAATATGAGGTGTTGGTCCAGTCTATATATGTAAGAAGCAATAGGTCTGATTTGTACTTCTTATTTAAGCTAGTCAGCAACTAAACTAATCAAAGTGCTTTATCAGAAAGATCAGGCAGCAGTCAGATTAATCAGTTTTCTTCCACTCCTGCTTGGTATCCCATAATTTTTGTTCTAGGATAACATTGGGAAGAGTTTAATATGTCAGTGATGCCTTCACTATTGACCATCAATCTCTGGGGCATATTTTTTATGGTTCTTGATAGTGACATCAGTAATGGAGTTCTGTGTCTTTCAGCTTTTCTTCTATTCCATCTTTTCTCTGGAAAAGATTTACATGGCAAGACTAGGACAAGCATCCATGTTAGATTAAATTTGGATGTTCATCAAAACATGTTACTAGGGAGGGAAATTTGGTTCCCAGCTCCCTTCATGCAGCTTTGGTATTTTGACAAAGGAAGTATCATTTGCATAAATTTCACTGTAGGGAAATATAATTGCATTTAGTATGTGGTACAGTATATCCAAAAAACAGACACTGGCTTCTATAGGTCAAATCTAACACTGATCACATTTGGGAAAGGGGTTGACAAACAGCTGGACAAAAAGAAGCATCCATTCTCTAACATTCATTGGTTGGCATTTGTGGCATGAGATGAATCAAACAGGTCAAGGCAACAAATATGTAGAGTGTAAAGGCCATAAAACCTATTATACATAGGAAAGCCAGTGTACATAGGAATATATAACAGACACAACCAATAATTATTTTATACTCTACAGATGACTCCAGAACAAATGGCACACTCAGTGCGAGGATGCCACATATGTATCCCTTTTCAAACAATGCTGTTACTCTCACTCACCTTCAGGTCTATTTTACATGTATGACTCTAGGCATGACTAAATACTTACATAATATCCTCAAAGAGGTCACTGGAAGGAGGTATCTTGAAGTCCATCGTCGTATAAAACAGGTAGATCTGAGAAATGATGCCAGCAATGTTGATGTCCCCAGACTGGAATTGCTTATGAAGAATAGGCAGAGGATCAGCAATGCTGCATTTATTATGAGAAATATTGCATATTATTGTTGGCCAAAGCATTGACAGGAATGCTGTGGACACACCACACAGAAGGAAACAATTCATTCTGCAGCTCACATCACCTTTCTCCACCTTACCTTTCTTTACAGATTCTGAGTTTAAAACCCAAAGAAGTACTTGATGTATATATGTGTATGTGTGTGTGTTTGTGTCGAGGTTGGTAACCTCAGACTTTGAGGTGAAATTCTTGTGTGGTCAAGCACTAGCTAACTTTAATTGCAGATAGGAATCGTGTGGGAGGTATTACCATTTCTCGATCCATTTGAGGTGTCTCCTGACAATCATGGTTATACTAATTACTATAGTTGATATAATCACCACTTTAGAATTCCAGGCCCTGGAAACTGTGAACAAGAAGGAGTTCTTCTTTTTTCATTTTTTCATGTCTCAGAAGAAATTGTCTCTGGTTGACACCAACCAATAATGGGATTTTAAATGGGTGACAGCAAATGTCAAAACAGCAAGGATGGAAAAGAGAAAACTGCATGCACGAAAGTCAAAGTTATTTGCAACATTTGTACTTATAATAGTGAAGGGGAGTCCTTGTGAAGTCCACAGTTAGTAAATGCTATAGTTAGGTAGATAGGGAGGGAGAGAGAGAGAGAGAGAGAGAGATACTGTAGTTAGGTAGACAGACAGACAGACAGACAGCTATCCAGACAGACCAAGCTATAGTTTGGTCCTGGCAAACTGATCCCATTTGTGCTTCCTCCATAACTGGTCCCATTATACTATTCCTTGAAACTGATGTTACCTGATTTGTTTTCTGTAGTTTGGCTTAATGATTCTGCAAAGGTCATACTATGATCAACCCCAGAGGTCACAAATACTGATTTCAGGAGCCAGTTTCATTCCTCTATAAAACCTGGCAGCTGTTCTGCTCATCCCTTGGACAAACCTCTTTGAGCCCTCTGAACCCAGGCTGTTCACCCCTGCCCCCCATCAACCTGCTGGTTAACACCATGGCCTTTCAGGGTGCTATGTTCTCTACTGCCATTTTATATTCTCTTCCAGCTGACCCAACAATGGCTTTAATGTTCCTCACCCTATGTTTTCCCACTCCCTGTAGAGATGTACTATATATATATATATATTTAAAAAGTAATATTATATATGGGATAACAGAAGCATTTAACATTATAGTCCAGTACAACTTACCTAGATATAAACTCTTTCAAATTCTTCATTTTTAATTCTCAATTTATAAGATAATATATTTCAACTCAAATATAATGTTTCATTTGTGCTCAGTTGACCATAACCATTTTTAATACATTTTGCTGAGATCTGAACTACTTCAATTAATTTTAATTACTTTTTTTTAATACTGAAATTTTAACAGAGGATGTGTGCATTCCAACAGTAACATTGTTAGAGTCTATTAGGGCTGGAATTGTAAAAGCATATCTAAAAATTCAAATTCAAAATCGTCTTCTAAGTTTTGGTCCCCAACCTCTGCAGCTAAAATCAAAAAAGGGTATTGGGGGTGGATTACAAAACTGAAATCATATAATGGGTAGATTCCAAACCTGATGACAGAAGTTGGGCTACAGAGAATGTCTTGAATTTGAACTATTTTTTTTAAGTGACAGAAGTTGCTCATAAATGGCAACTGCGATCAGGTCTTGAATCCGTTGAATAAATGGGTCCATACATTTATTTTTCCAATGCTGCAATATCAGTCTTTTGGCCATAGTAAGTGGACGAAGAATACATTTACATTTTCCAGATGCCAAATTCCATGTATTAGGTACATAGTTCAAAAGAAAATGATACTGTGAAAATGTTAGGTTTTGTCACACAATCATATTTATGTAGTCCACTACTTTCTTCCAAAACTTTGCAAGCATAGGACATTGCAAAAACATGCTTTAAAGAGGCATTGTCTTTATTGCCTTGAATTTGAACTATGACAAAATAATTAGGAAAATGGATTTCCAGGCGAAGATGCATAGTATAGCAATTGCATTTTACCTTGAACATTTGAATTTCTGTACAATATCGCACTACACAAAATCTTCAGTTCAAGTCACTGGTGGAAAACACATGGCACATGTTATTCTACTGAACAACATCTCCATCATCCTTCACTATCAGACATGCTCAGCATGCTTCTGTGAATTTCAGTATCATCTCAGGAACACAATTTGTGAACCTGTGTTTAAGGCGATATTGTAAGAATTTCCCAAATTCCAGTCATTATTTAACAATGTGGGAAATAAACAGAAGACATGGATCTGGGAAGTGAATCAAGATAGCATCTCTACATCAGGGTTTGTCAGTTTCTTCATAGTATTTTTATTTTTACTTTCCCTGCATTGGCCATAACAACTTAAGTTTATCTGGAAATGTTAATCTGTGGCATTTTGACCTGTGATACTTTTTTCCTTGAGCCCTTTAAAGCTCTATGTGGCTTTCTTCTAGTTTTCGTGTACAATGTTTTGCAAATCCAAATCAAATTTTACTGCGGCCATTAACCAGCACATTTAGGCTTTGCAAACTGTAGAAGGAAGTTTTGATTAACAAGGAAGTCCTGCTGAAACTGAAGTTCTGATTCTACAATTCCATGAATCACCCAACTGAAGCAGACTGGATCATGAAGGAAGCAGTTGCTTCTGAGCCACAAATCAAATCAGGTATTTTCAAAGCATTTTCCAGCCTGCTTGCAGATTTAATGGACTGTCTATCATTTTTGGGTATACTAGGTAGACTAAAAGAGCACAGCTATCTTTAGGCAGGACCGAGGATGACTACCTCAAATACCTAATTAGTTACTTAGGATGTGGAGAGTAGTTAATCAGAAAAATATACATTCCATGTGTCTTTACCATTTTCCATAAGGTATGGGAAAGTATGAGGAGTCAAATTTATAGTCCATAACCACTTACTGAGAGGTAAAATCTCTAGAATTTTCAAGATCAGAACCCAGGGTATTGGGCTATCTAGCAGACATGGTTGATTGGGCCTTCCTGGATATCACAAGTGGTTTCCAATTACAGGTGGCAATGCAGATTTGAGTATTAACCACTTGAGTGATAGATCATCTGTTTCATCCACTTTTCCAGAGAGACTCTATAACCTTTGGAGTTTTCAGCCATTCTCTCATGTCTGGATTCTACTGGAATGGGTTATCTGAAGTTGACAAGTAATTAGCTAATGATTTTGATCAACTCACTAAACAGTGTGCTTGCCATAACTTTTCTGGGTGCAGTACTATATTCTCTTTTTGTTACTTATGGTAGTGGGAACCAAAAAAATTGCACTTTGAAGTCTGGACTTGCAGGAGAGACAATGTTCCATATGGTCCCATTCTTTCTCCCCCACCTTCAACAATTTTGCTCCTCACATAAGTCCAGATGAGAAAACTAGTAAGTGGGTCATGGCTATGTCACCCTAAGGTAGTCACTAGGTTCAGAGGAAATCCCACCCAACCACTATCTCATTGACAGAGTGGTCTGGAAGGAAAGATCTGTCTTCCTCTTCTACAAATATGGGGAAGTTTTCTGAAGTTCTCATTAGACATTAGGATTGTTTTCTTGCTCCTGGTAATTACAACTTGTCTCACTCTTGCCACGACACTGAGGAAGACCAGAGGACATATCTACTCTGATGAGAAAACCATTATTATTATTTTTTTTGGTAGAAGGTCTCCTAGGATTTTGATTCTGAATGGATGATGTTTCCACTGTAATTCCACATAATTATTTGAACTTTACTTCTTTGCCCTGTAGACTTGCCATAACCATAAAGACAGGTAGAAATATATTTAATGAAGGATAATGTAGGCTTCCAGAAAGAACATTTCTATTCAAGATGGTGATACTTAGAACCTTGGTTTTAGTGCTTTTACCTCAAGTGGCGTGCAATATTTCCAAAGTTAAATGTAGCATTAGTGACCCTCTGTCTTTCCTTCACAAGCAATATCAGTCAGGAGACCTCATTGTTGTGGATTTTCTATCTCAGATCTACATCTTCTATATGATGATAAACTTCCGAAAACGTCCCTCCAAAGAACTCTTTGAGGACATTGTGTAAGCTTTTTAAAGACAAAGAGAAGACATGTTATTTTGAATTGTTAGGCCTGCTTTTACATTCACATTGCCCTCAGCTCAAGTATCTGGTGGATTGCATCTTCATCATCCTCCACCTCTTCCTACATCATCTCCTTCTCTTCTTGTTCCTTCTTCATAATCCTCACCCACTCAGCAATGCTGAGACCACCTTTCAGCTGTGTGGAGAAGAAATCTTTGAATTCTCCCCTCCACCATTTTTCCTTCATTATGTGATAATAATAAAGAATTCTACACAAATGAATTTGTATTAGGAAAATAAAATAAAATTGAAAATAGGGAAGAGAACAAACTTGTGTGAGCTGTGTTATAAGAAATACTTAGGCTAGAATGTTCCTAAATTAGAAGTACTTTAAAGGAATGTTTGAACTAGGAATATGCATAATTTCCTCAAGTTGAAAAGGGGTCATGTTTTTTTACTGATCTAAACATTACGTTCAGTGCCTAAAGCCAATCGCTTGCATTGTGTAACTAACAGTTTTCCCTGGAAATGGATGGGTTCTTCAGTATCAGCTATTACTGATAGTGAGTGTTGTAGCAAACTGCTCATTGCATCAAGCACATTCTCAAGGAATCCTTAGAACTACTCCCGTGATTTGTGTTTCCTCCTGAAATGCATGTATTTCTCAAGTTTCTCAAAAAAAACAAAACAAAACAAAACAAAACACCACCCTTGTCTTAAGTTAACTTATAAAGGTAGATAAAGTATCACTTCTAATGATTCACTACAGAAATAAGCTTCTCTCCCAATTTTCCTTCACTTAATAAGCACAGAAACCCAAAATATAGTATAAATTTATGAAAACGACATGTAGCATTACTATGCTTCAAAGGAAAATTCTCACAGATGCGATGGAGGAAACTTTAGAAATTTATTTCAACAATGATATTGGATTCTTTATTAGTCAGTATATTTGAACTATGTTTTTAGTATGATAATAGGAAAAATCAGAGTAAATGAAGCTATCCTATCATACACTCATTGTAACTGACGCAAGCAAAGTTTTAAAGGAAATTGAGTGACTGTTATTCTCAAATTTGTAACAGTATCCTTTTGGAAATCAACAATAAATGATTTCAGTTTTTTTTTTTTAAATAGGAAAAAAGTTATTACATGAGGGAATATGAACTAGAAGAACGTTGAGGCAAAAATTATTCTTTGCACTGATAGTTATCCAAAGAATATGAAATGTGTCCTTTTGCAGGCTATTTAAAATAAAAATAAATAAATAAATAAATAAAAAGGTTGTGATGATAGTTTATCATACTCACCTGAAAGGAAGCATATTATCAGATTTTGCTTTGACTGAATATATCATTCCCATTCCAGGGTCATGACTCCAATCTACCAGCACATCTTGGCCTTAGAATTTGCCATCAAGGGGATCAATACAAATGCCCATATTTTACTGAATCATACCCTGGGTTTCCATGTCTACAATAGCTACTTCAGTCCAAGCTGGACCTACCGTGCCTCATTGGAACTCTTCTCTACAAAGGGCCAGTTTTTTCTAAATTTAGCTTAACCACTTTATGAGAAGCATCTCATTCAATAATACTGCTGGGCAAAAAATGTATTTCAGCCAAAAGGGAGAATTAGAGACTGGATTTGATATCATCAATTGGATCACATTTCCTAACCTCTCTTTTCTGAAAATCAGAGTTGGAAGGATAAACTCCATAGATTCCCAAGAAGTAATGTTCACCATTGATGAGGATGCTATTATATGGCCTAGGAGGTTTAACCAGGTATGTTAATCAGTTACATTTTGGTTTTTGGGTAGACATCATTTTATGAGCTCTCTTAGATCCAAACTCACACACAGCAATTACATTCAGATACACAGTACTTCATAAACTCCAAGGTCCCTAAAGATGTTCCAGTATATCTGGGTAACAGTTCCAACTGGTGACCCCTTGGATGTCTTGTAAGGTATATGTATGAATGGAAGGAATTGGACATTTGTGAAAGAGTACCTAAGTTTTTTCGCAATTTGACTCAAAAATAGAAAAGAACATTTTTGCCAGCTCTCACCAAATAAAATAAATTGGTCAAATAAAAGATCAGAATCAAATATTCAAAAAAAAAAAAAAAAGATATTACACAAAGCTTCCATGACAAGGAAAGTTTTCTTGCAGCAATTTGGATTTCATAGAAAAAGAAAATGGAACAAACATCCATCCAGTTTGCAAACACCTGCATAACTTATATTCCTTATTTCATGCTATGGAGTGCTTAATATTGGTAGGTCTCTCTCCATCTGAAGGCATCTTTCTCTCTTGCTGTTGAACTGAAACAGAAGGAAGCTCACACAGGCTGGCAGGCAAGCAAGCAAAGTAAAATGATATTTCTAAACGCAGTAAAACTAAATACTATTTTTTATAAAGAAAAGGCTCTCTTTTTCTCATTTATGAACAGGTCCAGCCTCTATCTCTGTGCAATAACAACTGCCATTCAGGTTATACAAGGAGCAAGATAGAAGGGAAGCCCTTTTGCTGCTATAATTGTCTTCAATGTCCACCTGGGAAGATTTCCAACAGGGAAGGTAAGAGTTACAGTATATATATTTCCCAGAAAATACACACATATAGAATTTGAGCCAGAAAAATACTGAAATTTTAGAAAAATGTTCAAAGTTGGCCTTTCAATTTGGTATATGGATCCAGTAATAAAATGGATTCTACTCATGCAATTAATTCCAGCCTCCAGCCAGCCACTAAGCAGTGTGTCTCACAGCAAGCATGAAGGAAATGTAACTTTACTTTAAATATACTAAGATAGATATAAACAGCCCTTTTTTTTAACATTGTAATGTGCCATTTGGATATTTCCAGTGCAATTTGTAACTCGCTATTCAATTTTCTAGACATGGATGACTGTTTCCAGTGTCCAGAAGATCAATATGCAAATGAGAATCAGGATTCTTGTCTTTCAAAAGTTGTAGCATTTTTGATCTATGAAGAACCTTTGGGGACCGTTTTAGCCAGTTCTGCTTTTTTCTTTTCTATGGTCACAGCTGCAGTCCTTTGGATCTTTATTAAGCATCAGGACACTCCCATAGTCAAAGCCAACAACCAGAATCTCACCTATGTTCTCCTTATTGCTCTCCTGTTGTCTTTTCTCTGTACTTTGTTATTTCTTGGCAAACCTTCCAAGGTGACATGTGTCCTTCGTCAAATTGCCTTTGGTATCATCTTCTCTGTGGCCATTTCTTGTTTGTTAGCTAAAACCATCATGGTGGTTCTGGCTTTCATGGCCACCAAGCCAGGGTCCAAGATGACCAAATGGGTGGGGAAAATGTTAGCTATTTCCATTGTGCTGCTTGTTTATTCAAGGAATTATTTGTGCTATATGGCTGACAACATCTCCCCCATTCTCAGATGCTGACATGAATTCAATGGCACAAGAAATAGTTCTGATGTGTAATGAAGGATCTGACTACATGTTCCACTGTGTCTTGGGCTTTATGGGTTTCCTTGCTTTCGTCAGCTTCACAGTGGCTTTCCTAGCAAGGAAATTGCCTGATGCTTTCAGTGAAGCCAAGTTTATCACTTTCAGCATGTTGGTCTTCTGCAGCAACTTCTGGTTGTGCTTTGTTCCAATGTACCTGAGCACAAAGGGAAAATATATGGTTGCTGTGGAGATCTTCTCCATTATAGCTTCTAGCGCTGGGCTACTGATTTGTATCTTTTCTCCCAAATGCTACATCATTGTGTTGAGGCCTGATCTGAACAAAAAAGAACAGCTGAAAAGACAAAAGAACAGAATAATTTAAATTCTATGGCTCTTTCCTATTTTGTATCAGGTATAGGAAAGTATTAGTAATCCAATGCCACTTACTAAGAAGTAATTTCTCTTGAGTTTTCAAGGAGTAGAACTCAGGATATATATAATATAATTGATGATAGAGGTAGTCCTCCCTTAATGACAGTAATTGGGACCAGCAACTCCATCACTAAGTGATGTCATGTGACTGCACTGACTTGTTGGTAGTTCTAGTACTTCTGGTTGTTATCATTAAGTGAATCTCACACAGTTGTTAAGTGCAAGCTTATGTGACCACCATTTGCAACCTCTTGCCAGCTTTCCCATTGACTTTACCTGTTGGAAGCTGGTGATCATGTGACCATGGGAAGCTACAATCATTATAAGGAAGCTGCCAAGCACCCAAATTGTGAACACATGACCGTGGAGATGCTTCGAAGGTCAAAAATAAATGGACCAGTCATAAGGTCCTTTGTTTAGTACTGTCATTACTTTGAATGGTCACTGAACAAATAGTTGTTAAGTGAGGACTATATGTACTTCCTTTACAATTTATATCAATCTTTTTTTTTTTTTAGTTGAACATGTTCATGTTTTAAAAGTTGGACTGAAATCTGTGATTCTGCTCCATTATTTATTACTTATGAGAATTTCTTTCTTTCTTGAAAAATAAGTGGAAAAGTTACATATACTAGTTTCCACCTTCAGAAATTAATAAAAAGACAATTGTAATGGTATATTACCACTGTGATAATGGTAGACTCAAAAATGCAAAATCACAATCAGTACCTGAGTTTTAAACCTATATACACACACACATTTAAAGTCACCAGAAGGCATTATGGACAGATTCCAGAATTGAACTATACTTTCTTCTATAATTTGAATTGACACTATGGAAGATAATTCATATTGTGATAAAGATCAGTTTGCCCTATGAAGGGCAAGATTTGGAAAATGGAATGCAAGAGTTCTAGGTGATTATTTTTGGCTATAGCAGCGGCATAATAAGCTCGACAATTTCAACTCTCAACAGCTTTAAAATGTAGGCAATATTTCAAAAATATTTAGTTCAAGACAACAATTGCTCTCTTTGTGTTGCTCATAACTGGGAATGTGTACACATCCAACCAGCAGATAGGATAGACTGGGGCCTTGCTTGATATCACAAGTGGCTTTCCTATGTGGGGTGGGAATGCAAGTTGAGTATCATCCATCTGAGTGATAGATCATCTGTATCACCTACTTCTGCAAGAAACCTCTAGAGTTGATACCCCATTACCTTCTCTAACTCAAACAAAAGTAAACATCAAGATTGGGCAGAATTGTTCAAGGCATCCAGTTTGAATGAAAGGGATCTCTCCTGACTTCAAGAGGCATATTTCCCAGATATAGAATTGGGGTGATTTGATCTGGAAACAAAATAATTTATCACCCCCATCACCAAGAAAGGTCTGCTTCACACTGAACAAAGCTGCTGGGAAGCTGCAAGAGGATTACTGCAGTGGCAACATTGGGGGCAATGGCTTCAACTAAGAAAGATTTAATGGGGTTGGGGTGCTGCAAAAGTGATGCAGATGTAAAGATCCCCTTCAGCCATTAAGAAGCCTACTGTGCTTCAGGACCTCTTTGAAAGCCACTTCATTGTGGACTAGCCCAGAGATGGGAATGGTGATATACAGGAAAGCAGTATAAATTTATGATAGAAATTTGCGAACCCCAGAATCATCTTGTTTGTTCCCCAGGGTCTGTCAAACTTGGATTAATAGAAGAGAATAGGTGTAGCTCAGGGTAGAACTGCGGAGTCCTTGGGATTCTCTGAGTTTAGTTGTTTTCTTGCAAACGTTTTGTTACCCAGCTAGGTAACAACTTCAGTGCTAGAGTGGTTTTTGTCTATGAACTCCCGAAGGGCGCCCATCTCCTTCATTGACAGGGAGTACATTTTCAGCTTGGGCAGCTTTGCCCCTGGCTCTAGCTCAATGGCTCAATGGCGCAGTCACTGGGTCAGTGTGGTAGAAGCTGGTTGGACTCCTTCTCCCTGAACGGCACCGTCAGGTCCCGGTATTGCCTCGGGATGCTGCTGCTCGACGTGGTTCCCCCGGACTCTGTCTAGCTGGCTGAATGCGATGGATTCCCGGAGGCACCGAAGCTGCAGGCCGAGCCCCGAGACCACAGCTGGGTGCATCAAGCAGTGGGTACAGCTTGAATCCAGCAGCGCCCGCAGCTGTGCCTCCCCTCCGGAACTCACTCCCTGGATGCGTATCCTGACCCGGAAAGGAGGGCAGTCCTCATCCCCGATTGGGTCCGCGTGCCTCAGTTCCCCGGCTCGCACTGGGACGCCATTCAGTGCGAGCGCGCCACGTTTCCCGCCGGCTCCAAATCCTCCCCAGAGGATGCTGTCTCAGGGGTCGACCACCCCATTCGGCCTCTTACGGTCACCGCCGCCACTGCACTCTTCCGCGGTCGGTCACCTGCCCTCTTTCCAGTAGGATGCGGGGGCTTGACCTCGGGCAGGGGTGGGGCTCCTTCCCGCTCCATCGGACACTGCGCCGCCCGGTGGCCTCTGCCCCCGCACCAGAAGCACAGGTTTGGGGTTTTGGTTGCCTCTCGCTCCCCGGTGGGCTGCCGCTGATTGCTCCACCTCTCCTCTGAGGGTCTTTCCCTCAGTCGGTCTCTCGTCTGGTCCCGTCGCCTCGCGCTCTGTTGAATCTGCCGCCACGATGACTCCGCCGTCCCGGCAAACCAGATCCAATCTTTCACTGTGGATGGGTCATCCCGGCCCAGCACCCACTCCAGGATCTCCGGATTGAGCCCCCTCTTAAAATACTTCACCCTCAGGGACTCCCGCCAGTCTGTGAGCTTCTCTACCAGCCTCCGGAACTCCAAGGCGTACTCAGACACCGACTTGTCCTGCTGCCTAAACTGCAGGATGTCGTCCTCGGCTCGCTTGGTGCTCAATATGTCCTCGAACCTGTCCCGGAGTGCCTGCATGAAGTCTGGGAAGCTCCTCAGTTCCGCTGCGTTGGCGTTGTATGGTCCGATCACCCAGCTAGCCGCTTGGCCGTCTAACAGCTCAGCCACGTAGGATACTCTATCTTCATCCCTAGCGAATAGGTGACCATCCCTCTGCATGAAACCCCTGACGTGCGTCAGGAAGTGCAGCAGCTGTTCAGGATCCCCCGAGAACTTCCCAGTGATGCCTCGAAGTCTCAGGGTGTCAGCTGCCCGTCAGTCCACTGACCGGGGTGCCAGGGGTGGTACCAGCTGGGGTACCGGCTTGCCACCCCTGTTGCTCGCCCCATCGCTCGCCGCCGACAGCCCCGCTCCAAGCAGCAAGGTCTGGAGCATTGCCTGCATGGAGTCTAGGCGCTGCTCGATCCTCTCCTCCAGCCGGGTGAACTTTTCGTC